AGCAGCTGCACCCAAATGGCTGGGAAAGAGGTCAGAGACACAGGGTCTCCTACAGAAATGTAGGATTCCCCAGCATGTGTCTGAAACCATGACAAGATCAAGGCAAAATTTATTTGCAGTCTGGATCTAGACAGAAACTGCCATTTGGTAGTCCTTGAATGACCCTGTCCTGGAATGTTAGAGCTGTAGGTAAAAACCACCAATCTACAACCTTCTCCTTTTTGATTTTTTATAAGTTGTTCAACTCAGGACATAAATTTTTACCTCATATGCTTTTGATAGAACAGCTAAAATTTAATTCAATTATATTTGCCAACAAGATATGGAGAAAGACTTTTCCTTTCTTACCTCAAAAGCATGAAGAATTTTTCTAAGTGCCTTTTGGTATGTATAGTGATTATTAAATTCTATAAGAAAACTAGATTTATGTAAATAAAACATTAAAACAATGAAAATATGGTAATTCACTAAGGCACTAAAGAAAGCTCTGCATATCTGTCCAAATAAGTCACTATCGCACAGAAAAACCAACAACTGCCTTTCATTTGCTGGCAGGATCACTAAAGGACTTAATACTCTGGTGATTAACTCAATCTCAACTGATTTCAGAAACATGGAAGTTCAGATCTCAAATAATTTAGTAAATATGAAGGTGATTTTGTTGATTCAGTCAACATCAAGAACTGCAGTTTAATATTCTTTATTGCTTACGGACAAACTATGTTATTCATTCAACAGATATCTGATGGAGACTTGAAAAGCAATGAGATAACCACTTAATTTTCTCAAAAAAAATCAGAAATCTCAATTTAAAAAAAATCAAGTCTATTATTTTATTTTTTTTCTTAGTTGAGATGAGATTAGATAATTTTCATACACCTAGGAAAAAAGATAGATATTGTATGTTTTCTATTTGTACTTCTAGAAGAGAACATTAGATTACTAAATATTTCAGAAGCCATTTATTCTTAGCAGTCAGTTTGTATTTTTTTAAACCTTGGCAGAAAAGCAAACATCATTTGTGATACGTGTTAGGAACTAGTAAACTAATTCATTATTGACTTAATTTTACAATTTATAGCAGATACAGTCTCACTCTACACAGAGGCACACATAGCTTACAACCAGTTAAATTTGCCTGTCACTTGATGTGGGAGAAGGCCTTATATATCTGAGCTCTTTCACTTGCATGAACAGGTAAGCCTTTCTCAGAGGCTACAACCTGAGGTACTGACCCTGGCTTTCTGTTGGAAGTTAATGCCCTGTAAGCAGGTGCAGCAGAACAGCTGCTCAGCCCTGGCAATTCACAGCCTGTGGGTCAGCAGAGACTTCATTGATTTGGTCCCCTGTGCATCGATGGGGCCTGAGTAGTTATGGATGGTACTTGCTGTGCTGCATGGACTCCAGTCATCGTCCAGGGCACTGAGGAAAAGAAACAGCTGAAAGGCTGATAACTGAAAGAAACAATTCACATTAAATAGAGTAACAGAGGTAGTATAGCCCAAGGAGAAAGTTATTGGTCTAAAAATTAACCAGAAGACTTTTGGAAATGCAATGAAAGGAATTATTTTTCTTGTTAATTTTCCTTCTCTTCAAGAAAACAGGAATTTCCTCATAGACATCATTGCTTCAAAGGACCATGACTTCATCACCAGTTTATTCACCCAGGAAAGACAACAAAAAAAGCTCTCAAGGGTTCTAAATTTTGGCTAAGCATTCAGGTTTAAAAAATGATAATATTATTTTGCTTGACATAGACTTTTCTTTTTCTTCAGGTACATAAAACTCTGGCATAAGCATTGTTTTTGAAAACAGCTAAACTAACATTAGAAATTTCTGTAAAGTCAATTAAGATCTTGAAGCTGACAAAGAAAGGTAATGGCTACATATTTTGTTTTAGAACTACTTTATTTGAACTTTCTTACTTTTTTAGAAATTTACTTACACATCTACCATATGTGCCAATACATCATTCAGGGACTTCACTTAATGTATAAAGGATTCAAGGTCTATGTAATGTTGTAGAGAAAACAGTCTGGAGCTATAGTAGGTAAAAGTGGTTTGGAAATTTTATGGAATATTAAGTTAGAAAAACAACAGCAAACCTTAGAGAAAACATTTTTTATCCCAAAAGAACATTACCAGAAACATTCCTGTGTATTAATTTTCTGATAACTTTGGGCTGTTCTTGCAAATTACATTATGATGTATTAAGAAAAACTAAACTTTGTGCTGGTCATGCTTAATAAACTGTCACAGCCTGTAATAGTGCAGCTCCCTGCGAAGGAGCTGATCTTTTCTTTCACTGGGAGCACCAACTCCTGAGAGAGGGATGACAGGAACCCAAGGAAAGCCATCTTCTGGCTACAGTGGTTCCCTGAATAAAACCGCTGGTGTAAAAACAACAGGTATTGGGTTGCTTAGATTTTAGGAAATTACATGTCTGCTCTCTGTGATCTCAGCTACTTCAACTGTCTGATACTAAGAGGAAGGATGGGAAGAACTGGGCGTATCTAAGATATTTATTTTCACCTTTGTCTCTTACACGAACACCACTTTTATTGTGTTTTTTTCAGTCTTTAAGCATGAGGAAATCATTTCTAAGGCTCCTAGAGATCCATCTCTTTAGAAAGTTATTTTCAGAGCTATTTGCTCTGATATTTAAATCTTACCTTGTTTGAAATTTTAATAATATGAACTTGAGAATATACTTATGATTTCTTTTGTCTAACTTTCAGTTAAAAACAATCCAAATTCAAGTTTCCTTGATTGACTCTTAGGTAGTTATTTCCAAGTGGTTTTCAATGTGTGTGTAAGGGTTAAATAGAGGTAAGATAATCTCTCTACATACACCTAATAAAATATAAGTACTTTAAGACTGAAGGAAATGAATGCTGCCTCTGCACAACTAAATATATTCTTTAGACAAGAGAGACTAATGTCTGCAGTTGAAACAACAGCATTAGAGAAATTCAGGCCAGGAAGAGTGGATCTTTTCTAAAGCCCCCTGAAATCAATGAGGGGCATTGCTTTAACTCCTCTAGGCTTTGGCCCCAGCCCCAAGTAATTATTCAGGTTGGACTTCGGCCACTGATATTAACACCATCTGCTTACAGAAAGTATCATGAAGTCTATAATTAACACAAATCACAAAGACCTCAGTTCTGTGTCTTATCTAAAAAATGGCACTTTTGAGAGTGCATTGTTGATGTACATCTTTCTGAGGACCTCACTCCCTGCCATCTCACAGGGAAATGTGTCATCTACTCCGTTGCTAGCACTACCTTTTCAAAATATAGCCAAGTTTCAAAGCCATTGATTTTCCAGTTGAAGTTCATATGTGAATATATCGACCAAGTTTTATTTGTATTGATGATCTTGAAGAAAAATAATAAATATGCAACAAATACAAGGAAAGGGAGAAGTAAGGGATTTTTGTTTGCTAAAATAAAATTTGAAAGAACAATATAATACTAATAAAAGGGAAAGAATAATGTAATTTGTGTGTAAAATGCCTACCTAGAGAAAAATACAGTCTGACAGTCAGGATTGGATTTCTCACTATTTTCTATTTTCACCTTTTCACAGGATGACTGAGGCAAAGTATTTGACCTTACTTTTCCTCAGTTTTCCCATCTGTGAAATTATATTAATGTTAATTATAAACAATTATAAATGCTATTAATGATCTGGCAGGAATTTGCCATCCTAAAATACTGCTTTGAGGTATTCAAAGGGAAGAGAGTACATCAAACTGCAAACCCTTGGCCTTATTGCACACCACCTGTGGCCTGGATAGTTGCACATGCTGTGCAGGACCATTGCTTTGTTGCACATCAGTGTCATTAAACACCACTTTTGCAGCACAAGCCACTTCATTGAGAGTCAATAAGGCATAGTCCCTTTTTCACCTATAATTCACACTTTCAAGCCAAAAGTGAAAAAGATGTGTCTGTCACCAGATGATGAGTGTGTCTGGAGGTCTTAAATATTGTTTCCTTATTATAAGGATTAATGAAGTGCTGGCCTGAACCCTGCACAATGCTTAAAGACATGTTTAACTTTAAGAATCTGAGCAGACTGATGGACTTCCACGGGAATATTGATGTGCTTAAAGTATGTGTTTGGAATAAAATCATATCCTTCAGCATTGTGTGGGGTCATGCGACTTTTGTTTGTGAAAGTGAAGGAACACTCTCAGATTTTACTCCTTCTACAGGGAATCTCCTGGTTGTTCAAGACTGGGATCCTTGACATTTTACACTCCTGATTTCTCAGCCCAGACTCATATATGTGGTCTGCCTACAATATACAGGATCTGGATCTACACTGGTGTTCTACCACTACCTGTTTTCCTGTGCAGAGCCAAAAATGAATTCTATAAATTTTGACTTTAAACATCTGACTTCAGTAGCACTGATTTTCCTTTTTTCCACTAATTATATCTAGCAACTTTTATGTACCTAGGTATGAAAATAATTACATTATTCTCTTCCAAAAAGAAATTTAAGTGAGCAGCTGCCTTGTCCCGAGCTCCTATGCTGCTAAAAGGCATTACTTCGTGAAGGGCACAAGCTCTCTCCTTACAGGGTCTGCATTGTCTTAAGTGTGTGTCAGATCACAACACTGAACAAGTTTTCCACCTCCATGTGCCATCTCTGGGACATTCTTTGTCAACCTCCCACATACAGCTTGAGTCAGAGGCAGGACCTACAGGGGCACGGACCTTTGCACTCAGAACTGACTGTGTTCACCTCTCAGTAGACGGGATGCTCTGTTTAGCTATTTACATCATGACTTACTTCTGGTGCCTACTCTACTACCAAAAATTTCTTGCTAGTTCTTTACTAAAATTTACCAAATGCACAAACTTTGTAAGGACCACATTACAATTATTACTGTGTAGAGAAAGAATACAGTGTGCAAAAGTGAACTTCCTAGATACAGAAATGCTTAAGACTGTTGTTGTAACTTATATTATCATGTTTTATGTTTTTCAGTTTTACTAAAGAATGCAAAAAAGGAAGAAGAAAAGCCTTTCAGAGACTGTGCAGATGTATACCAATCTGGTTTTAACAAAAGTGGAGTCTACACTATATATATTAACAATGTGTCAGATCCTAAAAAGGTAAAGACTTGGTTTATTTTCTTCTTTGTTAATATCATGTTGCTCTGGACTTAAAAGAGCATTTAGAGACTTTATTTGGTATAAATAACTTGAGTTATATTCAATCTTTAAAAAAATACAATAGACTGAGAAAATTATTAACTGTATTATTCCAGACATTATTCTAGACATTCTGACAGAGAATTCTTCCTAAGTTCCAACATATACTCGTAGTTGACTCACTTCCTCCCACTTGGCAAGCTCAGTTGAATCAGGCTATGGCTGCAAATATATCTGCGATAAAATTGAGAAGACAATTTGTGAAGTGTGATAATGAGGAAGCTGATGGGGGGGATTATCTGGTAGCACAGGGAAAGAAATAGCAGAATGAATAGTTTTTAAAGATAAGGATTTACAAAAATACTGGTTCTGTTGTAGGGAACAGAGAAGAGTGGTTTTGTCTGTAAAGAGCACAACGTACTGAGTGTTCACACTGCTTGAAATAATGAAGCATTTATAATCCCGTTCTTCTCCAAAAAGAGCCTTGGGAGGGTTTTTTCAAGGAAAATGAAACACCAATCTGTAAAGGAGACTAGCTTTTTGAAAGGCTTTTGTTGCTACGGTACCTGAGTCAGTTGAAGTTAGGAATATGAGAGGATAACCTAAGCCTAAATTATCCACAGAGGAAGGCTGGCTGTCCCTCTGACAAGGTACTATTGGGAGCAGCCACCAAGGCTAAGGGCTGATTACCTGGGAGAGTGAAATACAGTGGTGTCCATAAAGTGGACCAAAGAGGAGGGAGGGAACCACTTCTGCCTGGTGAATTTATTCTTACTGTAGTAAAATGGTGACCCTGCAAACAGAAAAAGACTGTAACAAATATTACTAATGTTATTTTTTGTAGTAAGTTTATGATCATATTAAGATATGTAAAACTTATTTCCAAACTGAATTTGGTATTATTAGACGCCTTTGGAAACCTGTAAAGGTCAAGATATTATAGTTTACCAAGGAAGGTGGGAGAGTTCTATGGGCCAAGATCAATATAATTCTGGTAAATTCTGAATGAATGGAAAAATAATTGACATGACATAAAATACAGGGATCCTTTTAAGTGTTACTGAGCAGGATAAGAAAAATAAAAGCAATTCTGCAGAAGCTGTTCCACTCAGAAAAGAGAGGTAACATCTATGTCCAAATTGCATATACCAATTGGCAGTAGCTTTTCCTAGCCTTACTGAAGTTCATATACCATGCTCAGAAGCTGGATTGCAATTAAAACCAGTGGTTATCTGAAAGCACTGTGACACCGATGCTTCTGGTACATTTACCTTAAACCCACTTCACCGCTGCAACCCAGGTTCGAATCCCAGTCCCCCGGGCGGATGGAGCTCGTTAGCCCTGTAAGGCCATCCATCTATGAGAAGGTCACTCTAAACAAACCTACGTCCTGAGGACCTCACTGCCATTGTCCAAGCTTGCTTGGCCCCGGCAGATGAACCTTAGGATTAAAGGGTGGGCTCAGTTCAGCGCAGGCTGTGTCTCACCTAAAAAATCCATTGTGCAGGCTTGAAAGGGAAAAGACCTTTCCCAAAATCTTCGTTCGCAAAGACTAGCCATTAAAAAAACTAAAAACTTCACTGGCAATATAAGGACAGTGTCACAATGGAAGCCACCCTGTGTTTACCCTATATCCCTGTTTACAGACACTGCTATCAATCAATACAGATAACAAAGCTGATATAATTGCATTATGTTTTACTGGATGGTTCCTGTTTTAGCAAGAAAATGTGGGAGTATGCGTCTCTGCGTGTTGAGGGCATTTCTGCTACCACCTGTTTCTGTCTTGCCCTACTGATAACACAGCAAGAGCTGATCCCAGGCATGTTCACGTTAGTCAAGTGAGAAGTGTGATTGCTTTAACAGATGTTTTTTTCAGACATTAAGGTCATTTTAACATTCTCCAAGGTAGTGCTGTGCAGATAGCTGAACTAACTCTGGCTGAGATAGCTTCAAAATTGTATCAACTCAGCACTGTGCCAGGACTAATTAGCCCAGAGGTAGCACCATGCAGACACAGTTAGATTGCTCTAATATCCTGATAGGTACTCCATGGAGACATACTTGCTTGTTTAAAACCAGATTAGTTATCTGGATTACCACAATGCAATGCACAAACCTGACATGTCTTAAGAGGCCTAATATATTGTTACCTTCTGTAATACTCACAGCCACCAGCAACTATCTCATTCATAATAATTTTATACATCAGGTCACAAAAATATACCTTCATTTCATTTTATATTTCCTAAGGGATGCTTACTAGAATCCTCATATTCAGTAGAAAATACCTTTGTCATATATAGAAATGTTACTGTCAGTTGTAGTGTTTTGTTGATTTTACATTCATATATTCATAGAGAACTATCCTTAATGCATACAGCTCCCTACCATTCATATGTCTCATTTTTATACACTTAAAAATTTAGACTACAATTATTGTTTCATGTTCCTAGACTCAACAGTTCATTAATTTAGTTCATTAGTCTTCCAGCCCTGCATCAAAAATTAGTGATTAATTTCTGTTTAAAAGAATCTTAATAATATTCCATATTTTTCATATGGAAAGAGAAAAAGATATGAAACTAATTAGTTTGCTTACTTTGATGTGTGTATGTGCAATGCCTGATAATGTGGACAAATGATTGTCCTGAGCAATAGTGAAAGAAGAGTCCTCTCAGTCCCCTGCAAAGATGGGGTGAGCTATAGAGGAAGCAGAAGCTTCTGATGAGCACAGGAGCAGTGGGAGTGAAGTTGCCACCATTTTGAAGTTGAAGGAACCATGTCATCTTTGGGAGCAGAAGCAGGGCAGGGGTGATGCTCTGACTGTACGTGGAACCTCCACATCTCCCCTTCGATCAATGTATTGACTCTCTCACTGTCTCCTCTAATGCCCTCACAGGCATGACTTTTACCAACTTCTGGGTGCACTGCACTGAAAATGTTATCAACTGCTAGTGAGGTCTATATATTCTGAGTCTTTATGACTCTGCAAAAGCAACAGCCACTGTTGCCATGAATGCGGCCTTCGACTCCTCCCCCTCTACTTTCTGCTTGTGGACTTCCTACCAAGTCGGTGTCAATGGTCTCTCTGAGCATACTTGTCAGAATTTTAACCCATTAAAAGTATGCTAGCCCCTTATACTGTGGAAACTGCCATCCTGACATGGTTACCATCAGACTCAGTTTTTGCATAACAGAAATGCATTCTCTGAATCTCAAATGGCTGGTCTTGAACTTGTTGCTCCATGACAACAATGTAGACTTTTGATGCCTTAGTATGCATTTACTTAAAATGAAATTTATGGTAATTCTCTGCCTTCTGTTTACTCTCTTTAAAATTGAGCTTATCTCTAAATGATTATTATAAAGTTTTTAATAATTTAATTCATAAAGCTAAAATAAGTAGAAAAAAATCCTATATTTGCCTTTTAGGAATTCGAGAATTTTTGCCCATTCATTTAAGGAAGGGCAAGAGTGCAATATTTTGGATGGTCTTTTAATCTGAATCAAGTTATTTTATTAATTATAAACTCAGATTCTAGATATATACGCAAATTCAAAGTCACTTTTCTTCATCCTTTTCTTTTCTAATAGAAGGTTAAGTATTGGAACATGTTAAATGGTGTTTAATGGCTGAGTGCCTTGACCTTATCTGGGACAGACAAGTCTAGAGCTATGCACAGTGAACATCTATAATCAGCTTGGAACTCCCGTTAATACAGCAGGTGTTTCTGTCTACCACTGTGGAAAGTGCCAGATCACACAGTGATGCTAGTGAAAAATGTGCTTCTGGCAAACCTTTCTTTCACTGTGTAGTTTTCACTTTCAATTTGATATATTATTCAGAAAACTTCAAAGTCTTTTTATAGGTATTTTATTGTATTTTAGTACGAAACCCCATAATTTATGTGCACCTTTAAAATGAATAGTCTTAATACAGTTGAGGATTTAATGCTTTAAAAATTGGCAGTGGATTCATGGGAGCTTGCAGTGGCTTATAAATATAGTAAATCCATAATTTAGAAATTCTCACCGTAAATCAAACTAAAGAAATTAAATCCTGTAGATAAATGTTTTGACTCACAGTGTCTTCCCTGAAGAAGGAATAGGGTCACAATGTTTGTCTAGAAAAATTGTGGGGTTTCTTGTGGTTACCCTAAATCAAGTTCACATGTTTGCACTGTTCAGTATTCTGTTTCCTTCCTGTACCTTCACAAGGACTTCATTTGGCATGCCTGCTGCAAATTAAAACAAAAGCACTTGCATAGTGTTACTATGACAGTGCTTATTAGTAGGAGATATTTGAATGGTTTTTCCTGAGGGTAGAATATGGTTCTCTAGTCAACTGCAGGATAAATTGATATTTAACTGAATTGGATAGTAACCTCGAATTTGTATAGATCTTAACTTCTGAACTTGTCTTGAACCTATTTCTGTCTATGTTCTCTGTCAGTTGTAAGGCATCTTAGTCTGAGATCAAATGCCCCATTTTGGGACACTGCCTGGAACTATAGGTAATATTACAATTCAAACCAAAACAGAATAACCATATCTGTGCTACCTTCCAGACTCCTTGGATGAGTGTTTTCTGTAAGAATTCTGAAGATTCCTTCTTAGACCAAATGACACTCTGCTAAAAGCTATAGAAGACATTATTAACACTGAAAGAGTTACTCATTTGTTAAGAGGAAGAGAGTGGTTTCAGGGGCACTGCAGAGAAAATAGAAAAGGAACATGGAGTTAATGGGAAAGGGAAAGCTGAAGATGTAGAGGGGAATGATGGGGAGATATTCTTGGGTAATGTGCTGTAAGGACATGTTACTGGGAAAATTATATTAAACATAAAAAGAGCACTGGTTGTGATCAAGTGACTGAAGATACCATTGAGGCCATTGGGCATGAATCCATAGGAAAACATGCTTCCTTAATTCTGTTATTCATAAATACTTTTTTGCCCCCTTAAGATGACAGGGTTCCAATATAAGCTTGTTTTATTGGTTGTTTTGGGGGGGCGTTCAATTTATTTATTTATTTATTTACTGCGTAGGTCTTTTGCAATATGGAAATTGCAGGAGGAGGATGGACAGTTATACAACATCGAGAAGATGGGAGTGTGGATTTTCAGAAAAGCTGGAAAGAATACAAAATGGTAAGGTGAAAAATGTGCAATAGCTGTACAATTCATACAATGTCAGATTTCAAATACTACTTTCTATTGTCTTAGGTAGATAGTTCTGCCTGTAGTATTGTGGTGTGGTCCTACAGTTTTTATGATCTACCTTTTTTCATGTCTGTTACTTTTGAAAATGCTTTTTACTCAATTAATGGAGTATTATTTCCCATGACTTAGAGTTTCTTTGAGATCAAAAACCGAGATATAAAAAATGAGGTAAGACCAGAATGCAGCCATCTGTCTTTCTGAAGTTTTGACTTGCTGTGATGTTAAGTGGTAATAGGCATGTGATGATGTTTCTAATGTTTGGGTGTTTTCAGCTAAGGGGAACTCCTTCAGAACTTGGAGTACCTCAGACATGAATGAAACTTCTTACTGGGGTTTATCCCAAGTCATACAGCACCTCTGCCAATCAAGTTCATGTACTGGAAATGTTGATACTTCAAATAGGATTATGAGAAAATAAATAAGTTACCAAATTAAATATGACATGACTTCAAGCAGTCTGATTTCCTTTTGCCAACTCAGAAAAATTTTACTTCAATCTACATAACTGCTCTTTTTTTTCATTTGCTGCCTGTTCCTACTTTCTGATGGAGCTCCTTTCTCTGAGTCCCCGAGGACTGGCTTGGACTACAATGACATTCCTAGTGAAATTTTCAGTACTGTGTTATCAGTGTGGCAGAGAAATGTCTTTTTTCTACAGTTTTCAAAAAGCACTAAACGAAGAGAGCATTTTAAATGTTTAAAAAGAAAAGCAAGTTCAATACAGTAAAAATTTCTATGGGAAAAAGTTACGTCACAGAACTTACAATTTCAAAAATAAACCTAATATATTATTGAAGCTAAATCTAATTTTTTATTTTTAAGATGCTTTTTAAGTATTTTTTTATTACTTGAAGTTATAAATTATAAAAAAATAATTATTTGGATCAGACCCCTGCTCCTATGGGTAGCTAGAGGATATAATCTCTTTCACAGTATATGTCAATTAAAAGTAATGTTAAAATGACAAAAAGATACTTTTAAACAGAATTGCCAAATAAGAAACTTTTTTTAGAATTCATAATGTAGAAAATGTAGAAACTGTTTTCTTGATTTTGGTGCAGAATCAAATAAAATATAAAACATCAATTTATTTTGGGGAAAACAAAATTTGAAGATCCTACCAATTTTAGTTATGAGGAAATTAGAATTTGTATGTGCAACCTAAGTAATTTGCTACATATGGACATTTTCAATTAATACATATCACAGTAATTGAGATCTTCTGTTTTTATCTCTTGTGCTTTTTCTTAGCAGTTATATAAATACAGCCCTTCTTTGTAAAGTTATCCCATGTGGTATTTTTTTCATATATATCCCTTCATGTAGTCAAAGATTTTCCTCTAATTTTCCTCTACAATAGTGTGAGCCTTTTTCAGAATTAGATTAAATTGGTTTTGTGTAGTTCAAGCAGTCTAAACTAATTTAGCTTCTTTTTAGAAATGATAATATTCTAAGGGGGACCCCTGGTGGCCTAGTGGTTAGCATGCGGGACTCTCACCGCTGCGACCCAGGTTCGAATCCCAGTCCCCCCGGGCGGATGGAGCTCGTTAGCCCTGTGAGGCCATCCATCTATGAGAAGGTCACTCTAAACAAACCTACGTCCTGAGGACCTCACTGCCATTGTCCAAGCTTGCTTGGCCCCGGCAGATGAACCTTAGGATTAAAGGGTGGGCTCAGTTAACCGCAGGCTGTGTCTCACCTAAAAAATCCATTGCGCAGGCTGGAAAGGTAAAAGACCTTTCCCAAAATCTTCGTTCGCGAAGACTGGCCATTATTAATATTCTAAGACATCATGTACTTCTATCAAATAATAAGGATCTATTTTGGACTTTTATTGATATCTTATCCTATAAGTCATGAAACAAGATGGGATTTAGGCTTGCTCTACTTCTATGAACCATTTACCCAAGTAACTATCTTAGGCCCTCTTCAGTAGTTAACGTATAACACCAAGTATTGAATGTTGAGTGATAGAAGCTGATGGATGTTCTCTATGTTACTGGGATATGTAACAGTGTTTGAGCTTCAAGGCAATAACACCACTGATTTAATTCCTTGATTGTTCAGAAAAGGTACATGGTGTCTATTGGACCACATCCCATCTCCTTCCTGGTGTTTCTTCCAATGGAAAGTGGTTTGTGCGGTGGGGGACACAACGGTACTTGATCTTACTTGAAGTGGTTGAACTTAATATGCATTCTCTCAGCCTGTAGTTCAGATGCAGCTTTCCAGATGTGTTAAGATCTTCTCTTTGTGTTCATATCTAATAATTTCATCCTAATATAATAACAATAATAATAAGTCTCTGGGGCTGCTTTTATTTTCAGTGCATTTAGTTCTTATTGGAAAAGAAACCGGAAAATTGTTGAATTTTTTAAGTTAAAGAAAGTACTGATTGCCAGCTTCTGAACTGGACAGGATTCCAGGCCACCAACCAGCTCTACCTCTGGAGCCCTCAAATTTATTGACTGTTCCAGTTTCAGGAGGCTGTTCAGATATGCTCTGACTCTAAGATAAGATCCTTACTTGGAAAGGGTGCACATGGAGTAATCTCTGCAAGGATGAGTGACAGCAGTGCTGGATTACAAGAATCACCTGAAAACACGTCAGTCATTGTCTTTAATGCAGTTTCATGCTGGTACTTTCAGCTTACATGGAAGTACTTCAATTCCTATTCCAGACACCAACACAGAAAATAGGTTAAGTCAGAGATAAAGTAGCCATAAATCTTTTGAAAGGAGGAAGTATACAACTCCATCCACCCATAAATTGCTACAAAGTCAGTGCTACTACAGCAATAGTGGTACTAATTTTTCCTCCTTGTTCTTTTGGCTCTATTTCCACTGGCATTCAATCTCCACTCTAGAAAATAAAGTTACACTTTCCTTGGTGTCTAAACCAATAGGTAATAAATACAAAAGCTTTTCAGCAGATTTACTGTTATGCATGATTGGTTATGCCACCTTCTTGCTTAGGGGCATATGTGCTTACCAGTATTCTTCAGTTTTGTTATTAGTCTTTCACTGTGCAGTGTATTTTCCACCTTTGAACTCATTTCTGACTATGAAATCTCTTGGGCCATTTCAGTTTTGAACATTCAATAGTTATGGAATAAATTCAGAGGAAACCACTTAAGTTCATCCTCCCATCCTTTTCTTATCAGTACCTACTACATCTATTCTGCCACATTTTGCAATGAATTTTCTGTTATACTGTTTGTTGCTTATTGGAAAAAAATTGAAGTGGAACAATGAATAATTTCTGTAACAACAGGTAAGATCACACTGAAGCAAATTTCAACCGTGAAGCAAGTTTCAACCATTTTTCATATTCCCTTGCATGAGGAGGGAATATAAAACACTATTAAGAGTTTTGATCTCTAGAGGAGAATATAATTTAAAAAACTATTGCTTGCCATTTGCAAATCTAAAACCCTTTTAGAAGGGGGGGTTTTCCACGAGCTTACTTTTTAAGACACAGTTTCTGGCATTTGTTAGGCAGTCATTAGCAATAATGAAATCCAAGTAAATTATTAGTTCATGTGCTAACTTGGCTATCAAATCTTCTTGATAATTTTCCAGTTTTCAGTTCTTGGATGAATGCACCTTTCCCAGTGACTGTCTCCATTTTTGCCAAATTAGGTGATGGAGTATTGGATTCCCTATTTTCTAGCCTTTTAGCATGTCTAGTTTAATAATTCCCATGAAATTCACAGTATTTATTCCACACTTGATAGCCCAATGTTCACTATCAGCTTCTTAGGGGGGCTTCTTAGGGATCAAGTCTATTGGGGGCTTCCTCAGACCTTTAAAATTACTTTCATGCTTTCTGTCATTGGATAAAAACTCTCAGTAGGTATTTGAAATTGTGTGTCTTGGCCAGCTCACAACAATCCTTTTTTTAGCCTTTTTTTTCCTGCATGTCAGTATTTAATTGTGCTGCCTGTCTTAATTTCTATAGCATTGTTATTTTCCTTTCACTGATGAAGGAAAAGCTATCGCTTTTTATTGTTATTCATAATGTCACGAGCTAGATTAGGGTCACTTGTACATAGTAGACTCTGAGCTGAATTTCTAAGCTTTATGGCAACAACCTCCTACCTTTCTGATCAGCAGCTGTTTTTTTGTTTGATTTCTTTGAGGCAAGAATGATATTCAGTGGTAAATTCCACATTCTTTTAATTTCATATTCCTGATTAACATCTAAGAGTCCAACAACTGTTCAGCGCTTAAAACAAGTCTGTTGCCAACTTGTTTCAGAAGTCATCAATAACACTCGTGTGCCTGAAGAGCACAAAATCCAGAAGAGCTACAAAACCACTTCCATTTCTTGTGGGGTTTCTTCTTTTTCTATTCTCCTTAAGCTGTTTTGTCAAATTGATGGCTATCTCCAAAGTGCCAATGCTCTTCTACAGCTTAAATTCTTCACAGACTGAGAGCCAGACCACAGAGGTAGTCATCAGAACTTTCTCAGGAAGTATTTCTGGGTGCAGTTCTAGTGGGTATTTATATCACATTATCTGCAACAATCTGACTTTCCTCTGAGCCTCAGTAAATTTTAGCTAGTATGTCAAGTTTTGACATCCGTGTCTTCTGCTTACTTAAAAGACAGCTGAACACCTCTTTGAACTGTAAGTCTTTCATTTCCTTCTAGGCATGATGGTTTTTATCCTTTTTGACATATTTCCTACAGTTCACTTCTCTGAGTAAGCTCTAGTTTGGACATAGGTCCCACCCATTTTCTGGAAGACCTTCTTGTTTGTGACAGTCAGGCTGTTGGTGACCACATGCTTTCATCCCACTAGTCCTTGCGAGTCCTACATGCCTGAATTATACATAATAAGAGCTACCATTCCAACAAAGATTTTATTTCTTAGTGCCATTGTTCAGTTAATTCTGAAAATTTCCAGATGTTATATTTAATTTTTA